GGTGAAAATTACTCTACACGATCGTAATGACCAAGGCTTCAAGATCGCGATGACTTAGAAGGTCAGCTCATTTATTTTGACCATTGTGATCACGACGTCCATCCACACGATCGCGATGATTGAAAAAATAAAGCTACGCGATCACGGGGGTCATCCACACGATTGAAATGCACACAAAACTAACCCTATGCGATCGCAAGAGAGGATGCCATGATCGCAAAGAACAAATCATACTCTACCAGAAAACACAAATCAATAATTCGCAGGAGGCACAAAATTCCCAAATTGACCTTTGGAATTCGTTCGGAACCCCGAGTACATAAACCAAATATGCTACCCATCTAAACTCGATGTTCTAGACTTAATAAAACCATCGAAACATGAATCAAGATAAAGCTATTGAATCACGCCCAATGCCAAATTTTACGTAATCTTTCACATACCAAGTTTCAACTACCATTTAAACCGTCATATACCCCGTGCCAAAACTTAGAGAAATTCTTTGTCACCCCAATAATTCTATATACCATAAGCACATAACCTCTGTTTACCATCAAGTATCTATGTAATGCATCATAACATTCTGGGTAGTCCCATCAACATAGTAGTTTCAAACCCCTTGAGATCCTCAATAACTATGTAGAACTGTAGGTCTATACCATATATAGCACCCCCATAAGCCATCTACCATAATTCGAATAACCCAAACCAACATAAGAACGTGGAATCTTCCATATATCATTGTTTGTTACCCAAACCGAAACCCAATCTTCATAAAGGTCGCTGATAAACCCCTAGTAAGTCTGTGCCAAACCAGTTCAAATTGTATAGTCATATCTGAATTCAAAGACAAAAATCCATACAACCTTCAACTTCAAACAAAAGGTCTACACGAGATGTATTAATATTCCTTCACTTTTCTTGGATTCTTCCCATGCTACAAATTCCAAATACCTTGAACTCTTTAATATACGAGAGTACTCTTGTTCCTTTCGTTAAATCGCTTACCAATCTTATTCTTTAACCAACAACCCATGTGAAACCCTTCCTTATTTCCTTTAACAATAAAAAAAATAGCAAATATTACGATCCAAACCATGACCGCTTGAAACCTAGCTTTTCTCTTCTTGGAATGTTGCTCTAATTTTATCTATGTCACGCCCCGAGGCTACCCCCTTGACGCGGACACAGGACCTAGGATCAAGAGTGACCTCAAGCTAACCCTGTTGGTATATCATAAGAATACTAAATATAAACTGAAGTAAAGAAATACTATGCGGAAGCTAAATCATCATGTAAATTGAAATGATGGGGAATACCCATATACTATCTGAATAAAAGAAACTGAGAGTTTGAATACAAATGAAAAGTCAAACTCTAACACTAAAGCTAAAACTAACTATGTTTGAAATAAAGCCTCTACTGACTAGAAATGTTGGGACATGCCCCAGCTAGATCTATCAAAATTGAAACTAAAGCTAAAAGCAAGAAAGATAATCATGTCACTAGTCCGCGAAGAATGAGGACTCACCACTGATGTTGCTGAACTGAAGATCGAGAACTGATCTATGTGTGATCTGATTGCTGAGGACCTGAACCTACATCACGAGAAGATGTAGCGCAGAGTATGTGTCATTACTTGAAAGGTATATACTGAGCATGCAGGATAGAGTAAAGCTGAAAAAAACATATAACTGAACAAAGCGATAAAACAATGATATAATCTGAATATGATACTATGCTGAAAATACTGAACATGGCTAAGCTGAATGCAATGACCATATTTAGAACATGCTAAGACTGAATGCTGAACAATACTGATAACATGGTCAATGCAATAGAATCTGACTAAACTGTAAGGGAGCTACTAATAACCGACATAAAATCATATGAGCTAAATGTGGAGTCCAATCTATACGCCCCATTGAGATGACCCAATATACCCTACCAGAGGTATAGAGGCATGCTGGTGTGATCACTAAAATGATGCCCACAGAGGGGACTTCCAACCTACGAGGCACATAGTTCTGGGACTTGAGGGTGACTGACCCTAGTCCACTCGGTATTAAGCTTCTCCCAATTGATTAAATAATTAACACTTTATGACTGAAATGTGGTAATACTGGATAGCTCAAAATACTGACATGCAAACTGAGAATGCACCATTAATATACTGATAATAATTCATTCGAAAACTGAGGCATTTTTATATATATATGAATTAACTGACCTAGCATGTGTAATTCATGAACTAAAAGAACTACATAACTAGGGTTCTAAGTTTATGCATAAATCTGGGCAAAACCAATACTACAATATGATACTATGATTTGGATCAGTCTAACAGCTAAAAACCCAACAATTCTAACATTCAAGAAGCCCAAAGTCTAGATAATATTAAGGGAATCAAGATTCTGACTGAAATCTAGGGACCTAATGGGTGGAAGGAACCCACTAGTGAAATCCCACATACCTGGTGACAAATTCCACAGAGAAATCTTTCGATTTCGGGGCTGGAACTGATGGAACCTTGTTGCGTTCTTGAACTAGGGCTCTTGACCTCTTTCTCCTCTTACGGTCTAATTTTTCTAAGTTTTGAAGAATGATCTGACTTAGGTAAGTTCTAATTATGTTTCTAGGCTAAAACTGACCAAAACTACGTAGTTTAGGGTCTAAATGACGTAGTTTAGGGTCTAAATGACGTAGTTTAGGTGTCCAACGCATAAGGAAAAGACCAAAAGACCCTTCACTTAACTGCTATCGGGGTCACTGATGGGGAGGACCGACGGACCGTCGATCGACTGACGGTCTGTGCTAGCCAACCATTACTCGCGACTGGAGGCTGGAAACTGAGAGTCTGATCCACGGACATGGACCATGGCCTATGGTCTGACCTACGGTCTGTGGGTCCGGCCGTGGGTCGACCCTTAGACAAAATCTTGGGGTTGAGTCTGGGGAGGGTTGTAGATGCAAACCACGGACCACCAACATGGGCCGTGGGTCACCTTACGGTCCGTAGGTGGTAACCGTGGGTCGCACCTGCAACTTTTGGAAATCTGCATTGATGTCTGTTTTCGGATACAAAGTGTTACACTCTAAGTGCTAAAGAATGTGAAAAGGTGGTTTAGCATCTGATTATACCCTTAATTGGATGAAGAAAAAAGTGTCTAGGCTTAGTAGGAATAGGAAAAAGACCAAACTACCCTTCAAAAAACCCATTGATATGCCTTTACAAGAGAGGCTTCACTAAAATTGGCATAACTTTCTACTAGAAGCTCGAAATTAGGCAAACTTGACGACGTTGGAAAGAAGACTCAAAGACCTTTAATTTGATAGGTCCGAGCCACCTAATTCTTATGTGTTAAAAAATATGATCATTTAAAATTGATCCAAAACTTAAAATTGATGGGTGACTCGTACAAACCCATCTTTAGCTCTTTTCGAAACTCGAAGTGTTACAAAAGACTCTGGTGTGAGAATAGTGGTGGTTTCAGAAAGTTATTATGTGATAGAAAGCTTAGGCAATGATCAGTTAGGAAGGTGTAATGACTCTTAGTGGGGGAGTTGCCAGAGGAATGAGGTGAGTGACATGGGGATATAGTGTGTAAGTCCAAAATGGTGGTGCGTGGTAGTATGGATGATGTCTTAAAGGTCAGGATGGATAATTTAAGTCTTATGTTTCTTTGATTTTTTTCATGTTATTATGTGGTGAATTCGGGTCGACCGATGACGCCTTCCAATACACTTTGTTTGTACTGATACTACTCTTACTTTGCCACTTGGCATAGTCTGGTTACATGATCTGTGATGTTTATTTGGTGAAGATGATGATGATCTCCAACATTTTCTACTCCTTTTTCCTTATGGTGGAGTTGTGTCTTATTACTTTCAAATCTTGTACTCTTAAAAGCTCTTTTTCATGTTTAGACAAGTTCCTTGGGAGGGTCTCTGTATTTCTCAAAAGTACTTATTTTCAATCAAGTTTGAGAGTGTTTAAGTATTTAAATAAGGTGATTTGTTTTACTTTACTTTATAAAAAAAATAAAAATAAGGTGATTTGTTTATAATTGTCCACTTCTGCATTACATGCTTTAGATTGGGTGTAAGAGTTCTCTTATCTAGGTGTTAGAGTAGGTGTCCTTACGATCCGACGGTTTGGATTGTGACATTGTCATACTTAAAAATGATTCTTTATTAAAATAAATTGGATAGGACGACTCGAAAAAGGTTGTGAAATAGTAATATTTTTCTTTATATTCAGTCATTTTTATTTTTCAATTGTTCTTAGATAAATGTTATTCTTTATTAGTATTCTTTTATGAGACTATTACTTACAAAAGTCTAATGATATGAAAGAGTAAAATCTGAGGTGAGTGTATTAATTTATATATAGGGATACGTATAATGTAAAACCTCTTGGTAGATCACTTTCATTTTTCTTTCATTGTAACTTCAGGTTGTCATCTTCTATTTTATCATTATCTTTTTTTTTTATTGTAATTTCTATGATCATTTATAATGTAATTTTGTCTTTCCTTTACCTTATTGTTTAAGAGTGTGTTTTCACTTATCAATACTTACATAATTTGGATTTTTAATATTAATGATAAAATTTTATTCACTACATTTGATTTTGTTCCATAATTGTTTGTGTGATTCTGAGTTATAATATAATGTTCCTTTTTAAGTACATTTTTTATCTTACAATTTTTATGTTATTTATTTAAAAAAATTATACAAAGAATATAACATACACAATATATATATATATATTATTATTATTACTATTATTATTAATTAATGCAATACACGTGCAAAACGCGTATACTTAACTAATATTATTCAAATACCAAAATTATTATGATAATTTAGCATTTAATTACAAAGTCACACGACCATGTTTGGCTGAGGTTGACCAACTTTTTATTTATTTCATCTTTGACTCTAATAGCTTTTTTGACCTTATAAATTAGCAGAGACTCCCTTGAAAGACCTTCAAGATGGGTAGAAAAATTGAGATTAAGAAAATTGAAGATATAATAAAGCGTCAAGTCACATTTTCGAAGCGACGTAGTAGTTTACTAAAGAAGGCGAAAGAGATTGCAATTTCCTGTGATGTGGATGTGTTGTTGGTCGCGTTCTCCCCTGCTAACCGTCTTAGTAAATTTTGTAGCCAAAATAGGTATTGTATTTACGAACCGACAAAAATTCCGTTACGTTGTGCTTGTTATTGATCTATATAAAACGATTAGCTAGATTAATTTTTTTTTTTACTAAATTGCTACTTTTGTAGAATTGAAGACATTCTTCAACGCTATATTGAGCTTCCGATTGAGAGGAAATTGACGTACGTGAACTAACCCTAAATTTCTTCTATTGATTTTTTTTTAATTTAGACTTATATACTATAGCACTAACTTATGAGTTTTTTTTTTGTTGGGGTTAGTTATATGGCCGATGTTCAGGTACTGTGCTCTTTTACATATTTATTGTCGATCTATATTTGTAGTAATTTTCTAACCTTAAATCTTGTTTTTATGAATGTGATCAATCAATTAGTCTAATCTACAAATGAATATGAAATAAACTAAACTTTGAATTGAAAATTAGTAGTCGCTCCATTTTAATTTGTTTGCCTTAATTTGTTTTAGTTTGTTTAACAAAGTGTGTCAAGTTAGGTCTTGAGCTTAATTCATACACCAAATGCTAACTCAAAGGGAGAAAGATTGTCTGAGCACAATTTCATCCTTACACACACACACCACACCCAGATCCAAGATTGATGGGTTTACCGCATTCATTCATCAAAGCACTAGCCTTTCTCTGGTGGGCCTTTACCTTTCAAATAGAAGAGGGGGGATCTGACATTTCGTATCAAGTATTCCATTTATCTCACACACACACCCCACACCCAGATCTAGACATTTCGTATCCAGTATTCCATTTATCATACACACACACCACACCCAGATCCAAACATTTCGTATCCAGTATTCCATTTATCACACACACCCTTTATCCAGACATTTTTTTTATGTGTGATTCCATTTATCTCCCCCACTCCAGATCCAGACCAAAGGTAGTTCCACCCGCGCAACTGCCCATTTCTTAGGGTCCACATATAGATTGCGTCTAATATCATATCAAGTTAATTAGGTCTCAAGTCTAAATTATACTACTCTAGTTCAAAGAGAGTAGGATTACCTTGTAGGAGACTATTAATCACTGATGTAGGACATTCAATCCTTCATCAAAATTATTTTTAATCCTCTTTGGCTACTCTTTACTTTAAATTTCCAACATCACATATTTCTTACCACAAAATTAAATGATTATTGATAGCTTTTAATTTCCAAATGTCTTTTGTTTAAGATCATGAGTTACAAAAATCTTAATTACTTTATTAAATTGTGTCAAGAAAAAATTAAACAAACAAATTAAAATGGAGTGCGTAATAATTAAAATTATGAAACTGACATCCTCAAAATTAACGAAATACTAAATGATTTTTAATTAGTTATAATTTGTTCAAGACAATAAGTTTGACTTATGTCGAAAAGTTTATAATTGATAGAGTTGTAATAATTTTAATTATTGGGATCAGTTTTACCCATCATTTATTAATATATATTTTTTGTTGTATAAATGAAGGAAAAAGTGGCAAAACTGAGGCAATTGAACCATATCAGGGGAGATATTAGCAAGCTATACTTTCTTGATAAGCAGTTTGTATCTCTTTTCTTTCTCACGTCTTTCTTTGATTAATTTATTGTCTCTCTCTAGTTTTGTTCTGTTCAATGTTATTTACAAGACCATATATATAAGTGCTAGACCACTACTATCATCACCGTCACCGTCACCATCAAGTTCAGTGTATTTCCATAAGTAGGGTCTAGGAGACTAAGTACGTAATCTTACTCCGACCTTTATATATAGGGTAGAAAAGTTCTTTCCGATTGATAATTACCTCCTTCATTATTCGTAATTGAGACTGACAATTTGAGCAAGCTCACAGAAGCAGAGTTATATAAGCATTGTACAATATTAATTTATCGAAATGTTAGATACTACCTAGTTCCTTCATCATACTTGATTTCTTTTGTATGAAGTGAAATTGACTCTCACTAATGAATTACATTGTCTCATGATGGCTACCTTTGGATGTTTCAACCTGTTGCTGGCATCTTAAATTTCTACAGGATTGAGGTGAGCATAATTTAATCTGATGTCTTTCTTATAATTTATTTTTATATTTTCAATCTATTCTTACTATTCAAATTAGTAGTTTGTTAGTTAAGTGAGACATTGAAATAGAAATTCAGAATAGTCTTAATAAATAAATGTCAATTAATCATTATGTATCTATGAGGAAAGTTGATAAAGTCATTTTAACGTGAAATTCTATGATACAGAATTTGGAACTACAAATCACGAAGAGCACATTGGAATTGCAGATTGTGGATGCTCATATAAGGTCATTTGATTTAGTATCACAAGTGTTTTTCTTTGTAGTTCTTAATTATAACATCATGATTGAATACATCGACGCTACCTTAAACTTTCATTTAGACATTTAAAGTATAGTCTATTTCAATTGTCTAAATGTAATATACTAATAAATTAAAAAAAGTTATCGATATTTTTTGCCTAACAACATGATTTTGCAGGGATTACGAACCAGGGCCAGAAGAAGAGGCTCCTCTTCATCAGCTTTGTTGGTGTGAGAAGAACTTGCAACTATCTCTCCAAAAAATCAGGGATAGAAAAGTTTGTTCTTTCACCAATTTCTTTTTTTCATTTATCATTGAAGAATAATGTGAATTTACAAGTTTCAAGAAAATAAATATTTTTCTTAGAAATAATGTAAAACCCCAATCAATGTCAAATAAATTTTGATTAGATGGAATTGGAGAAACAAGGAAATATGGATGTTCACTTTGCTGCACAACAAATAACTCCTCAACAGTTTGATACTAATAATTGGATTAATCCATACAGGTCATTAATATTTTCACATGATATTTCTTTACAAAAATTCCCTCTCCTTTTCCCTTTTTGTTTAATTATTATTTCGTTATTATTATAGTTCAAGTATCCAGGGGAGTATGTATCAAAACTGGATGGACCAAGGACAGAGAGTAGCAAACAGTTCTAGCCATTACACATATACCCCTTCCTTTGCAAGTTCTTCACAGAGTGGGAATATACCATTTTATCAGAATCAAAACTCATCGCCTTATATCCCATTGCAGGTAACACTTTTTTAAAACGCGGTAACTAAATATCCATAAAAATGAGGTTTTTAATTTATTTTTTTTATTATTATTTTTATCTGCACAATAGAGCTATCAACAAAACACCATGGTAGATGTCCAACAGAATCCACCACAAACATTTGGACAGTCACAGGTACATTAATATTCTTGAAATATTATATTTTGTTAAGATCTCCTTAGAGTTGAGATATTTCTTTTTTTAAGTTTGATATAATTATTTTTATCCACCCAATAGAGCCAACAACAAAACATGATAGTAGATATCCAGCAGAGTCCAATACAAATATTTGGACAATCACATGTACACTAATATTCTTGAAATGTTATTCTTTGTTAGATCCTACACCCCCCCCCCTCCCCTTGTACTAACTAATTAAGTCATATATTTTGCAGGCACAATTGACTTTTGGTGAAAGTACTAACAGCTCTCTCATGAACTTCTGGAAAAATATTTGTGCTTCTACAAGGTTTCTTTCGATATTTATGCATTTAATTATTGTTCGCCATATAATATGTTATTTGTTTTGAAAAAGAATGATGACATTAGAATTATAACTTTTGATGCACCTAACCTCTACACAAGATGAAATTATTATTATATTTATGTTGGTATTTTTCCTGTTTAACATGATATGATTCCTAAGATCTCTCTCTCTCTCACTCAGGCCTGTCTCGAGTCCACTAGCAACTACGGGTACACACTTGAACAATCCCTCTGAATCAGGGTTGGAGTATGCCCATTCAAATTCGAATAGAAACTTGAGCAATAACAACAACATCATTCAACAAAATGAACATTCTTTATTTCAAAGTGATGCAATAACTCCTAATATTCATGGATTTAACTATCCTAGGGAGGTTAGTTCAAAGCTCTATTCTTATTATTATCAACTAATTAACTTTATTTGTTTGCTTATAATTTCATTTTTTATTATATTATTCACTCAAATACTCACTTTAAATGTTTTATCACAATGATTAGGAGAATACAATGGGAAGCAATGAATACTTTGCTGACACAACATATGAGAATGATGCATGGGATGTTTTCCTTAATGAAGCTCTTAATGGAGAAGACTTTTGAAATTTAGATTGATCAATTAATGACAAAGAAAAACTTTTTAAATGTAGTTCCTTTATCTTTGATCCATTTAAAAGAGCATAAACTCATGATATTTTAGCTTTTTATTTACTTGTTTTAGTATGCAACATATCATCTTAAATGTATGTATGGTTGCCTATATATGTTCAAATGAATAACAACAAGGACCTATGAATGTTAGATATAAATGGTATGTTGGAAACATCATATGTTTTAATACTTCTTATTGTTAAGTTGTCCTTTTAGACTGTATGTCAAGACTAAACCAAGTGGTCAAAAGCCAATTTAGGTTATGGGTGAATTTGATTGTATTAGTAATCCTATAGAAAGGAGAGGAGGTAAACCTCATGAGATGGAAAAGAGCATGTCATACCTTGACTGCAAGAGAGAGTGAGCTTAATGAAAAAGGTTTCATTGAGTCTATATATACTTGGTGCAATTACTAAGTGCTTGAATGGACAATAGATAGAGTTCTTATCAATCAAAATAGGCTACAAAAACTCCTTGATACTTTTGTAGCACACTTGGTCAGAAGTATTGGTTCTAGGGGTGACAAACAGGCTGGTTGAGTAGGATATGGACCGATCGAAAATTAGTTAGGTAAAAATGGATAAAATATTCGATCCCAACTCATATTTGATATGGATTAAAATGGGTAAATCCAATGGATAATGTGGGTCAGACTATCCATTGCTTCTTATTATGTGAACACAAAATAAGTTCCTCCGCATTAAAAAACAATTTTCTTATATTTTTCTGGTATGAAAGAAAACATTTTCATGTTTTTCGAGAATATATATTTCTGTAAAATGAGTGGGTTTGAGTCGAGAATCGAGATCAAGAGGTCAAAATTCGGGTCTTGGTTCGGGGTCGGAAGTCGGATCCTAGGTCTGGACCTATTTCGGATGGTGACGTTTAAGAAAAGTTATGAAAACTATTTTTCTTATTTAAGGAAAGTTTTGAATTTTTTTCCCTCACTTTATGTATGGAAGTCATTTTTTTTTAAAAAAAAGAGGAAAATACTAAGTTCATTTGAAAAATAGTGTATAACAGATTTAAGTCAACCAAACATGAGAAAATTGAAAATGTTATAATATAGTGAATGTTTATTTATTAGAGAAAAATTAGGAACTCTAACCTTGGGGAGCAAGTCAATTTTCCCCTATAAATATAGAGGGTAAGATCATCCTTCAAGAGCGTTATCCTGACTTATCCCAAAGGAATACATGAGACGACTCTAATTTGTCCTAGAGGAATGCATGAGACGAGATGAGTAGCAAGAATTGGAATAATCTTCGGTGGTAAGTCATATTGTATTAATTTTTTTATATGTTCTGATGAGGTGTCCAAATTTGACAGAAAATAAAGTTACATAGGTTGCTTCGATATAGATTTTCCTGTTAAAGTATTTTATGATATTTGGAAGTTCTTACCCCATTTTTAAACCTATTTATTCTATACACACATTACTTATCCATGCTAAAGTTAATAACTGATAGTTTAAAGGCTCAAGAATGAGCTTTTATTGAATTTTGGTCTATTATGTTATTGATTGAGCGTAAGATGATGGATTTAAGTCATATCGCACCAAAAAGGGAGAGATCGGGTTAAAGTTCTGATGCACCATGATAATAAGTTATTGGGTTTTTTTTTTTTTAATTAAAAACCACAAAAGGTGGATTAATATTAATTATCAAAAATGCAGAATCGGTGTGTTGAATTTTTGTCCAAACCACCTTGAGAAATATGAAGGATGAACAACTCATCCTTGTACAAAAAAGTTCGAATACAATGGTACATGGGATTGGTCATGAGAGTATGGTAACCAGCTCTAGAGTGCATAGATACAAATACACAGATTCCATGTCCCAAAAGAAATTAACAATTATCAAAAGTAAAGGACTAGATTCTGAAATTTGGTGTTTCTTCAATCAGTTTTTGACTTCATTGGGAATATTCGAATTCTGGGTGAAGAAGGTATATTTCCTTCGTTTTTCACCCATATTAGCAAGGTAATCTGCCAAGTTATTTACTTCTCTATATATAGCAATGCTGGATTTAGTGGTGAAAAAACTATTTTGATTTGGAGTCCAAATAGACATGTCATTATTGTGTCTCATAATGTCAATGGAAGCAATATGGCTAACAAAATAAGTAGGTAGAACACTATTAAGCTTAGCAAAATTCCAACCATCATTAGTGATAAAATCAAGCACCTTGACCTTTTTAGAATGGCAAGTGCCAGGAAAATGATGAGCAGTGGGTCCTGAGCCAAATCCAATTATCCCACCAAAAAGATACATTACCATTACCAATTTTCCAGAAAATATGTTTATCACAAAGGGGGGTTCCTGAGTCAAAGACGTCTTTTCCAAATATGAGATTGTCCTGAAGCCCAATATTTCTTTTCAAGAAAATCGAGTCTTTTGTTCTCAAATTCCACCACATTTTGGCTCCAAAAGCATAACTAATGTCCTGGATTGATCTGAATCCAATCCCACCTTCCAATTTTGGAAAACTCTACCACCATGAGAATCCTTGCATTCTATTAGCCATGCACCTTAGAAACTAAGTTACCAAAATATAAATAACTTGGTGAGTAATTGATCTAGGTAATTGGGTACCTGCAAAAAAAGTCACAAACCATTAGAGATAATTTCCCAACAATGATGGTAGAAAGTTCCAGAAACACCATCTGGTCCAGGAGCACTGTCAGGACTTTAGGAAAAGACAACATCTTTGATTTCTTTCAAATTTGGAGGAGCTCCAAGCATGTCATTAGCCTCTTCTGTTATAACTTTTGGTAAAGAGTTGAAAATCCTGAAATCCCTTTGGTTTCTATGGTCAGTGAATTGGTTGCTAAAGAAATTGATAGCTTCTTTAGCTATATCATCATTTCCTTCAGCCCAAGTATTATCATCTTTCTTCATTCTTTTGATAGTCAGTCTTCTTCTTTTGACATTCATGATTGAGTGAAAAAATTTGGTATTGGCATCCCCTTCTTTGAATCATTTCATCCCTAATTTTTGCCTCCAAAATGCTTCCTCTCTTTTTATGTGCATAATCAGTTGAGCATTTGCCTTGTTTAATTCCATCCTATGAGCTTCACTATTGTCTTGTATGCACTTTTTCTCCATATCTGCTACCATATTCTCCAACTCCTTAATTTGTCTTGTCAAAAATGTTGCCTATATGAATCTTAGACCACCAAGACAAACGTTTGCAAGTGCTTTTCAGCTTCATGTGAAATTTCCAAATGGCAGAACCAGTGACGTCAATGTTCCAAGCTTGTTTAACCACTTCTAAAAAGTCAGGTTCATCTATTCAGAGATTCAAGAATTTGAAATACCTCTGCTGGGTAGGTTGATGATCCTCCAAAGTAATAAATAAGGGAGCCTGATCTGACCAAATGCGAAACTGATACTTTTGTGACCAACTATGATTCATAAGAGCTTTGTCAAGCCTCTCCCAAACTCTAAACCTTGGCCTTCTTCCATTACACCAAGTGTAATTTGAACCTGTAAACCCTGCAGCAGTACAATTAATAAAGGGAAGACTATCTTTAATTTTATGAGCATTGCCCCCTTTTTTTTTTCATTTTGGTTTAGAATACAGTTGAAGTCTCCAGCAATTAATAACCAAGGAAGGTTAAGGTTACTGGACAGACTTCTAAGATCATTACATAACTCCTCTCTTTGATATTGTTTGAATTTTGCATACATAATTGTGACAAAAATAGTATCACCCTCATCAGTGACCTGTTGTTCTGTATCTTGGATGATGGAGCAACCAAACTGCTGGTCACAAAAAATACAAATTTTGTTGTTGCAATTGGAATAAGCAGACTGATATCCCAACCATCTTTTGAATTTGTCAACCTTTGATCTTCTACAAAAATTATGATGAGTTGTTGAATTTTGCCTGTGATCTAGTCATAACTTTGCTAATTTGGCCGCCTCTAGTGTGTTTGCCCCTTGGTGAGGGATTTATGTTCTCTGTATGTTCTTGAAAGGTCTGTTCAACTTATTTATTACAGCTGGTATTGTTGAAAGTTTGTATCAGTTTTTCTGCTTCATCATCACTGTAACTGTTCCCCCCTTCTATACTTTGGAAATCAGCTGTACTAGTATATCCACTACCTTCTTCCTCTGTAGTAAGATCATCTCCAGTTTGCTCATTTGTATTCTCCTCTTGACCACTACTGATCTCTTCTCTACCAGTATGTTCACTGTCATTTTCTTCATGATCAGATGAGGATACATTCATCACATTGTTTTTCTTATCGATCTTGATTTTTTAGGAGATTGTATTATGTTTCTGATCATTTGGTTGATATTGTCTGTTGGTAGCTTGATTTTGTATCTCAAGAATAGTAGTTTGCTGATTGTTTGTTTCTTTCACAACTCGATCTTCCCATCAATTCATGGTCTATGATGTTTTTATGGATAAGACATTGGGTTTGAGTCTCAATGCATCATATTGATGATATAATGATGACTACGAATAGTAGTAGTGCATAATATGTCTACAAGTGGTCTAATGATGCACATGAATATGGAATGAGGTACTAAGCTATCATAATTTGATATGTGATGATTGTCTTCCATTCATGAATAATGAGAACTTTTGATAAATGCACATGAATGTGGAATGGGTACTAAGCTATCATAAATAATTTGAGCATAATTTGATATGCTCAAATGATTGTGTTCCATTCATGAAGAATGACAACTTTTGCATAATGCTAAAAATACAAATATATTCTCTATAGTGAATGAGGTGTATGTCCACCATGCTATGCGTGGAAAAGGTCGCGACCTTTGGTCGTGGACATGGTATCACCAAGAATGTCTTTGGGCATACATGTGTTACAAAAAAGTTCCCTAATTCTATAGTAAATCTGAATTTTACTAATTCTGATATTCTGATCATTTAGGGCATCTTGGATTTATAATGGTGAATTTTCTTGTACTTCTTATTATCAAGGCAAGTTAATTGTGAGACCATCATCAATGAAAGTTAAGATTGAGTCCCCAAC